TCTGAGATTCTAATATGCACTGGTTTTATCCATGAGTCTTCAACTTATTATGAAAATGAATGCCTGTGCTATTGTAAATACTCATAAATATGTTCAAGCGTACTGAAAAATCAATGAGCAATCTTGATAGTTCAGAAAACGTGCAAATATATATACACATTTATATTCATGTATATATGTATATTCAAATTAATGTAAATGTATGTATATATGTATATACACATATATGGAAGTTCGCTATTTTATTATTTGTGTTGAGCACAGTAGAGGAAGTCTTAGCACAGTATGTTCACTTGAAAGTCAATTTATGAAGACATATTGTACAATCCTAGCTCTAAAGAAAAAAACCTTTAAAAGAAACAAAAAACTTTCTAAACTACAGATTTAAAATATATGTATGTATATGTGTGTATACACATAGACACATGCATATATGTAGTGAAGCAAATATAAATTACAACTATGATGTAAAAATAGAAAGATAATGGTCAAGAAGGAGAAATGCCTAGGCTTGGCCTAGGCTATGAGAATTCAAAATGTATCCTTAATATAAATACAATTGTCAAAACATGAACAAATATAAAAATTCCAGAAATTGATTCGAGAGGAGAAAGCATACCATTTACAAAAATGAACATGTTGTAAAATATATTTAAACAAATAAATCAAAAAAGAAATGGAAAAAAAATATTTACTGGACTTAATATGTACAGAAAGAAAACCAAACTAATACCACCAGAAGAAAATAATCACTGATACATAACGTGGCTAGAAATGCCTGTCAGTATCACAGAACCCATTACAATAAATTCTAGATGGTATAGGTCACTCGCTGAATCAATTCATTAATTAGTTGTTATAAGAAAAGGATATGACACCTTTTCCACTCCATGCACTGGGGATAAATATGGAGCTACTGAAGAAGTGAATTCCAAAATAATGTTTTGAAATGGAGCATTGTTATATAATGTCAAACTTCACAAATAGCCAGAAATTACAACATATTTCCCATCCAAATTGGTGTGAAGTCAGGGAAAATATTTAAGACTGGGAAGACGTCAGTTAAAATGGTGCCTGTGGTTGTTGCTGCTGAGAGTGTCTATTGTTACACAGAACCATCAAATTGTTCCTACCCACGCAAATGTTGCTTTTTAGATGCTGTTTACAAAAAAAAAAAAGCCAGGTTCCAGGAAAAATAGTTCCACCTAAGCCTGGGTGGTACCCTAGGGTACCTGGGGTGCCAGGGAGTATGGGAGAGGCAAAAACCGTGAGGCAGGAAGGGGGGTGAAGACTGTGCTGGGGAACCAGAAAAGGTCCCTGTGGCCAGCAAGAAGGAGCCCCCAGTGGCTACCTACAGACCAACCTGACCCTCAAACAAATAATAACAGAACCAGAGAACAAAATTAGTATTTATGAGTCCATGCTAATGTAAACAAATAATTGCTTAAGAAAATACGTGGGAGGGAAGGGATAACTCTTTCTTATAATTCCATTCCTAGTGCTCTAATGGGGGAAATGTCAAAAGTGTAGTTAGAGACTTAGATGTTCAGATGCTTCTATATAACTTGCAGCACTGTTATTATAATTAAATACTTAAAATAGTGGTTTATTTGATGAACTAATTTATTGTCATGACCTTCTCATTTCCAGAAAACTTACATCAGGAACTATGCAGAACATAATGTGTATTTATAATGTGCATTTCAGTTTGGTCACAGTAGATTGAGTGTGTGTGAGTGTGTGTGTGTGTGTGTGTGTGTGTGTGTGTGTGTGTGTGTGTAGAGAGAGAACTATGTTCAAAATGGTTATGTCTGACTGAAATGAGAAAACTAAAATCATACACAATCTTATTTGTTTCTCTTTCCAATTTTTCTAAATCATTATGCCTTTTCTTTTTTTTTTTTTTTGGCTTTCTTTGTTTTCTAATTCCATTTGTCAGAATAACAGAGAAAGAAAATTCCAAAGGGAGTTTTATTTTTTAAAATCATTTGGACTTCTTTTTTTTTTAATTAATAAATTTTATTTTTATATTCCCCATACAATTGCAATCCCCCCATTCTGACCCCAATCCCTCCCCTCCCGCCTCCCACCCCCCAAAAAGTGTCTCTGGTTCATAGTTTTTGTTGATTTTGATTTTCACTTTCTTATAGTTATTCATTTTCCTGGTCCCTTATTTAAGTTTTCTAGATTCCTGCTATGAGTGAGACCATCCGGTATTTTTCTTTTTCTTTTTGGCTTATTTCACTGAGCATGATCCCTTCCAGCGTCATCCATGTTGCTGCAAATTGCATGTGTTTATCTTTTTTGAATGCTGAGTAATATTCCATGGTATATATGTACCTTTTCTAATAAAATTTTAAAATGCAGGTAAGCTGGGGCACCTATTAATGAATGTATATCTCATGTATCTATATTTGAAATAGGTTGGGAAATAGTATAGGCGAATACAAGCAGTTTAGGCTATTCATCTGCTTTATAATAGTCCAAAATGGGACTAACACTTTCTCTACTTTATTGCTTTGGGTGATAAAAGTTAGGATAGAAACTGGAACTGTTTTTTCTCTACTATAAAGAAGATGTTAATAAAATGATAATAATAAGAATTAATAATGTGTTGTTTTGTAATGAATTGAGCACTGTTTTATAAAGGAATAAAAATAAATTTTTATGAAATAATTGAGGTAATCAGTTCTTTTTTTATTTATGCATACGAGAGCTGGGGTGTAGGTCAGAGGTGTGGGGGGTGAGAGGATTCACCAGAGACAGCATAGGGAGCAGAACAGGCAGATCTACTGAAATACATTGCTGAGAGTGAGACAGAAGAGGTCTGCTGTGCCATGTGGGTAGCTCACTGGCCGGGGGTTGAACTCATGCCATAGCTTCATACTGCTGAGAGTTAACCCCCTGCGCCACCAGGGAGGCCCTGATGTAATCAATTCTACTCCAACTAGGCAGTAACAACCTCATATATTTGAAGATACTGGGATACACATTCATTTGTAAACATCTATTTATATATTGTTAACATCCTTTCCTATGTACCAATATCCTCTCCAAAACATGCACACTGTAGACAATTGTCTATCACGCGAATCATTCACAAACATTTGAATTTTGAAATTATTTGATTGTAATTTAACAATTTTCAGTCAAAAGTATCTATTTCATTTTACACATTTAAATAGTGTCTTATCTCCCAAACATGTTTATAGCAAAAAAGAATAGATGAACTAGAGGTGAATGATGAAGGGAAGGCGACACAATCAAACCGAGAGGTCACCGTTTTGTAATTTGACTCTAACCTGCTGATCCAGGTGTGAATCCATGTTGGTAGCAACTTGTATAGCAACCGAATAAAAGCGATTCCTCTAATCTTACAGATAAATTATCTACCATATATTTTGACTTTTAAAATGCAGTTTTTGATCACCTGGGTAATAATCTTCTGGTAGAATGCAGTGATCTAATGTATCCTTTCAAATAGTTTGGAACTCTCTTCTCTTCAATGATTTTTTTTTTTTTTTGAAACATCAAAGCAAAAAAATATAGCAAAATCCAGCATCCCTTTCTTATTTCTTCTAAAAAAATACTAGGCTTTGAAAACTCATCAATGGCCAGAATAAGTCACTGAAATGAATGCTGCCTCTTTACCTCATTTTCTAGAGCACAGCACAGTGTCTGGCTCAGAAATGATAGTCAATAAATGTTCAATTAAAGAAAATTGAAGTACACCAGTTCTTTATGACATAAGCTATGACAAGCTTTCATATTGATTCATGTGAAGTCATGAAGCTGGGCAAGATTCATTAGTTTAATAAAACTAATACTATTAAAAAAGAAAATCCCCATATGTAGTTAGACTAAACAGGTGTGAACAGAAAAGGACATGAGTGTAAATTTTGCACCTCTGTGCATACACAGTATAGACAGAGGGACAATCTGTAATCTAAAAACTTTATAAAGTCATTATTTACAAATATGATTTAGAAATGGTTCTGCTGTTAATCAAGTGATGCAAGATTTATGTTTCACATAATTAAATTCTTGATGAAAATATGAGTAATGAAAAATCAGGAAAACAAATTGGGAAGACATAAATTTAATTTTATAATCACCCGTATTTTCTTAAAGTAAAAGGAAAAGCAGATTTCTTAAGAAGAGGGAGGGGCGACACTGTTATACTTTTCAAACATTTTGAGATACTTTGTGAAATGGGACAATTCTAACATAAGATCTTACTACCATAAAGACATGCAATATTTGTCTAAGTTTTTGTTGGCAAAATTAATTAAATTAATAAGAAATTACAACCAAAAGGCCATTTATAGGGACACAACTATGGTTAAAATTTTGATCATCATGTCTGCTAGCCAACCTTGTTATACGGTATCGGAAAGTATCTGCAGGTGTCTGTCTACAGGCCACGTCATTCTGTATGTATAGATATATTAGCATATAAACATATATGCATGCACATGAAAATCGAGCCTTTCTAATACATCTTTGGAATAATGCACATATCCCTCTTAGATGGAGTGAATCATAAACTTCTTTGAGACAATTCACAAAAACTTCCCCAGAAAAAGGTAAAACGCCTTTTATCAAGTTCATCGTTTTCAGGAGCCATTTTGAGTTACTGGGTCCTGATATCCCTCAAAGTTGCTCACTTTGAAGAACAGATGCCTGTTTCCTTCCTAATAATGTCTGGAGGAATGTATAAACGTAGATTAAACTATGTCAGATTCTTTAAAAGTGAACACTCTTCTCTCAAGAAGGATTTTATGTAGTAAAAGAAAAAAAAAATGAGCACTGCAAGCAGTTCTAAAAACACAACTGAGATGCAATTTGATAAACAGCCTTCCATCATCCATGCCAGAGCAGCGGAAAAGCAGCTGTCAGCACTTTCATCAAAGGCTCTATTGACTCCTCTTTTTCTCTCTCATTTTACCATGACTTTCCCGGTTTGTTACTCAGTCAGCGACGGGGAGACGATTCCTTACCCTTTGGATGAGTGATGATGGTGTCCACTTGGGAAGGGTCTTTTTCTCCATCTTTGTTGCTGCTACTGTCTTCACTCTTGCCGTCTCTCTCGATCAACTTATCCACCATAGCAATAATGCAGTTCAGGCTCTTCCCCACATTGGCCCACACCCTATCCTGAAAAGAACATGAATATCACTATAAATTTTTATAGTAAAAACAAGATCAGGCAAAATCCGACCGATCCATTTTAGAGGAACTGGCCATGTAGCCAGATCCCCTCCATTTTCAACAACAACACAAACTCCCATCAACTCAAAAATCAGGAACAAACAAGAAGGAAACTCTAACCACCCTTTCGCAATCCCTCTTTAGAACTGAGTTTGAAACTCACTGTTAAGTGCACACCCTCTAATTTCTCCTTGTGACAGTTGATTGGCTCCACCTGTATTCAGGGAGCCTGGGAAATGGATTGTGCTCCTTTGCTAATAAAATTTTCTGTGCTCCCCCTACCCCCCCCCCCCCCGGAGCTAACAGTGGCATCAGAAGCAAACATCTGCTGATTGCTGAGAAGCACCTGCTGGGAAGCCCAACACCTTGACTCGTATCGCCTGGGCTGTGGCACCTCCTTGGGCCTGGAAATGAGAAACCTGCCTTTGCTCACCTTCCTTCGCCCCTTGTATAAGCCCAGCACTCCTGCCATTTGGGGAACCAGTTTGGGGTGCTGATGCCCCTGAATCTCTTGATAGCCATCTTGAATAAACTCCTCATATGGAGACAGTTCTCGAGACTCAGAGTTTGGCTTTCCTGGTGCCAGCAAAAGACCCAGTTTGGTTGTTTCCAACAACGCAGTGACTGGCTGACATTTTCATTCATTTGTCCAGACTGGATATACAAGAATCTATTTTCTCCTCAGAAAGCAAAATTTAACTTTGATAAATCCTTTCATTTAGTACATTATTTTTGTTTTGTCATGAAGAAATGATACGCTAACATGCAATATTAATCCATCATTGATTACATACTATGATGTTTAAGACTGGAAACATCTACTTTCCTCACCAACACGTTTGTTTTTTTTTTAATATTTATTTATTTATGCATACAAGACTTGGGTACAGGCCAGAAGTGTGTGGGGTGTGTGTGTGTGTGTGTGTATTTTTAAGGATTCACTAGAGACAGAGCTGGGAACAGTATAGGCAGATTGACTGAAATACACTGCTGAGAGGAGCAGCAGGGAGACAGGAGAGGTCTGCTGTGCCATGTGGGTAGCTCCCTGGCTGGGGATCGAACTCGTGCTGCAGTAGCTGTGGACAGCCTCATAGGCTGCATCTTAACCTCTTGTGCCACCAAGGAGGCCCTCCTCACCAACACTTTGGAAGACAGCAAAGACAAGCCAATAGCTGTGAAAAATGGCCACTATTTGCATGAGAAATTCTATTTTTTATTTAATGTTAGAGAAATAACAAAGTCGACCATTTTACCCATTTTAAGTGTACAGTCAATGACATTAAGTCCATTCACAATGTTGTACAAATGTCATCAATTGTCCCTCCACTTCTGGAGTTTTTCCTTTTTCCCAAACTGAAACACTGTACCTTCCCCAGCCCCGGGCAACCATCATGCCTCTTTCTTTCTCCATTAATGTGACTACAACAAGTGCTACAAGATCCTACAGTGTGGGCTCCAGTTCACCTCAAACAGAATTAAAATGTGCACCTTTGTTCCCACCCACTTCAGAACCACCAGAAGAAGGTAATCTAAACTGAAATTTTCACAAGCTCCCCTTGTGTTTCTGATCACACTAAGTCTGATAACTTCTGGACGTTGTCACTCCCCATCTATGCTGGCTAATTCTATGTGTTAACCCGATGGGCCCATGGGGTGGCTATAGATGTGGCTAAGCAGCATTTCTGATGTGCCTGTGAAGTCAGTGATTGAGTCAGTGGACTTAGCAAAGCTATTTGCCCTCCCCAAGGTAGATGAGCATGATCTCCTCCACTGAGGACTCGAGTGGAGCAAAGAGTTAGCAGAAGGAAAATGTTGACCTTTCTTGACGGAGTGACTGAATTGGAGTATTAGTCTCCTGCCCTCAGTGCTCTTGGATTTCGAACTTAAAGACCTGGACTGGGAACTAGAGGCCCGGGCTCCCCTGATGTCCAGGACGACATCACCATCACCTTCCTGGGTCTCAGCTGGCAGGTGGCGGGACTTCCAGGCCTCTAAAATCATATGAGCTAATATTTTGTAATAAATGTCTTCATTATATATGTATATATATCTTCATATAAATACATATATGTAGAGAGATACCCTACTTGTTCTATTTCTCTGGAGAATCCTGACTAATACATTATCACATAAGAACCAAGTAGATTTATGGCGATTCCTTTGCATCTTGCCAGAAAAGTCTCTCAGTAGATGCTTTCAAGAACTCAAGTAGTACTTAGTACAAAGATAATGCTCAATTATAGTACTTCTTTAAGTGGCTTATATATCTCTCCCCAAATATATTTTTTTTCTGAAGTTAATTTTGCTAGTTTATAAACATATAAACTAATAATGGATGGATAAATCGTGGAAGAAAGAACTAAAGTTGAATTTAGACTATTTTATAGTTGTCTTGTAAAAACTAAGCTAGCTGAATAATTTAGCCACATTAAAACAACTATGAGGATGTACAAATGCCTGTTGTAGCTGCCGGAGTAAACAGGATGAGTAGAAAAGCATCACATTCAAAGTTAGAAAAGGCAAGTTTGAGGTTCACTTAAGGAAAATGCTGCTTAGGAGAACCACTTCATTTTTGGGAATCACAGTCTGTTCATGTAGAATTTTGAAAAATCTTTGCCTGCCTATCTCACAAGGCTGCAGTGAGAGTGTAATGACACAGCTTCTAAGAAAGTGTTTGGTAAAATTATTACAATTTGGCAAAATCATATTCTATGCTTCCTGGCTTTCCTGAATGAATCAAGCTTCTTTTCATTACCCTGTAATCTTAAGTGTGAAGGATGTTATTAATCACAATTAATCACAACATTTTTTCCCGTAAAGACAGGTCTACCCCTCAAAGAATTAAAAGCACTTCCCCTATAAGGGATAGTAACACATAATTACATCCATGGATTACATCATCAGAGCTGCAGGCACCTCTGAGCTATAAACGAGAAGAGCTAGAGAAGCTCATTTCTACCTTTCAGGAGGAAATGCTTGATGAAGGCAAATAAATTGAGGTTCTGAAATGACGCATCGTGGGGTTTGGTGAGGCGCTTACATTCCAGACGATAATAACAAACTTAATGGCCCCCATTCCAAATACGCATTAATCAGCACCAACAACTGCATCCTTAAGTCTATTTAATTGAAAAATGAAGCAACTCTCCAGCTAATACTGGGAATTAACTCTGCTATTGAGGGAAAAGTGTGTGGGGGGATTATTATAATTGTCCAGGTTTACTTCACATATCAGTTTCAACTGTCTTTCTCTTGCTGATGTTAAATGAAATTGTATATATTTTCTCAAAGATCAAAGAGCATGAGGGATACAAGGGATGGATCAACCACTCTTAACCTTATCTCTGCACAGCCTGAAGATATGGTAGAGAAAAGAATAATTATTAATTTAGTTTATTATTATTCTTCCTCCCTCATAGATATTGCAGGTGACAGAATTCCACTGGTAGGAAGATCAACTTAGCAGCGGCTAGAGGGATATTTATTGGTATCAGAAACAGAGTGAAGCATGTTCACTGCCCAGGACCAGCAGCAAAGTGAAGGGTCATGTGACAAAAGTTTTATGTCCTTAAATGTGCAGAGGACATTGGAGCTGCGAGGATGTTTGTGGGGGGTGAAAGCTGAGCAGTTTCTCATGCAACATGAAATACACAATCCATGCACATCAATGCCTTATGCAGGCCTGCTCAGCAGCAGACCCCAAGCCACTCACTCTTGATCTGCAGGAGAGGACATCCTGCCTTGCGGGTAGGGTGAGAACTCTGAGCTCTACTGGTTATTGTTCCCTTCTCTTATGACACCTGTCGAGTAGATTAAAGTCACTGACTTGCATTTGTGAGTTCAATACTAAAGTGTGAATTATTTGAGAGCTGTGTCCTCACTGCTTTGCGTAGGTGCTGGAAGAAAGACAGAGTGTGGGGGGAGCAAAGGAAGTTGAAGGAGAAGGATTAATCCAGAGATGGACAGAGAGGTTGTTGTTTCTATCCAAGGGTCCACACACAGTAGCTCGTTTATCCGTGACTAGTGACCAAATAAGGTCAATATTATTGACTCAACTTCTAGAGAGGATGCGCTTTCATGTAAGAGAAGGTGACTGACATACAATATAAAAATGGTATAATTGGACTAAAGATTCAATTTGACTTAAAAGACTTACTTCTTCCTGTATGATTTTCCACAGACTTATGGTACACAGGGAGAATTCCTCTTCCTGAAATGATCAGATCCCTGGAGACTAGCAAGATAAAGGTCAGGAGAAGGAGCCGGGAAGGATTAGGTGAAGGTGTGTGTCACCTCACAGGAGTAAGATCAGGTTTTAGTTATCTGGGACTTGAAAATGAACCCCAAGGCAGATTTTGGACTAAAAGATGACTCTACAAAAAATCACGCTGGTCACATGTACCCTGAAGTCTGTTATTAAGAGTATCATATAATCAAGGATGGAACAATCACTTGGCTAGAGGGTCCATGGCCATAAATGGGCAACACTATTAGAGTGTCAGTATCAAGACCCAAAAATCCATTCATGTGACCAGATATAAAACAGGAAATGAATTACAGGACGTAAAGGTGAGACGATAAATTCATTCGTAAGAGACAGAGGTGCAAGATAATTGGATATTTTGGAACTAAGATGCTAAAAATGGAGAAGCAAAATACTTGAAGGGGAACCTTGAATATCTGTTTTTTCTGTGATATCTCTGTGAAAACATATGCAGAGGGAAATAACTAGCAAAAATTCATTCTTAATTCTGATGAATTTTAAGTAGGGCGGGCCACATGGGAAATTCCTTTTGCTTAGACTGCTGGCAGATTGGTGCCTACACCACTGTCTTCCCTGTTAAAACCATACAGTTTGTTTCACACTTTGCCCATGAAGAGGAAAGGTTGCTCAGAAGGGAGAAATTCAGTGGATGCATAAGAATACCATGGCTGCCTGAACATGT